TGCACACAAACCCATAGCCCAGGCATGTGTGACTCCCTCTCTCTCTCTCTCTCTCTCTCTCTCTCTCTCTCTCTCTCTCTCTCTCTCTCTCTCTCTCTCTCTCTCTCCTGACCACATGGTCATGATGGTCTTGCATCATTGCGCTTGATTCAGTGAATTGCAAGTTTGAATTTTGAAACTGATCACACACAACCCATTTCATGAGTTTTCCCCTTTCTCACTCTTTTTTACGTTCTCTTTTTCTTTTTCTTTTTCTTTTTTTCAATTGTAAATGTGAAGGAGTTTGGTTATATGGATCCCTACTTCCACGGGCCTAAATCCTCCTCGGTGCTCCAACTGCACGGATTTGAACCGGCGCCCTCGGCTCTAAGAGCCAAGTCTCTTAACCCCTTCAGCCAGGTCACGCACAGTGTTTAAAAGTGGAACCATGCCGATCGCGATATCCACCCAACCCCTGCAAGGCTGTAGTGTCCAAACACAACTCAACACCACACTCAACTCCCCCGGAGGCGTCGCCGTGTCGGCAATTCTCGCACACACACGCAGCTCTAACTGAGCACGTACCTGGGCTGGCAGGTGTTTTTTTTTTTTTTTTTTTTTTTTTTTTTTTTTTTTTTTTTTTTTTTTTTTTTTTTTTTTTTTTAAGTTGGAAGACATGATAGATGACTCACACCTGAGCCCACTGCCTCCACGCTCGGAGGCACATCGCAATGTCGCATTGGCGCATTGGCTGCCAAGGCATCTCTGCTAGGAAATATCTTTTGTTGTGATCCTCTGTCTTTATGCTCATCTGCAGCTCCATTGATTCCCAAGAGGCAAAAGAATGATCAGCCCCAAGACCACCCCCTCTCCTTCCCCCCAAAGATGCAAAAGAAAGGCAAGAATGGAAAGAGAGAACCCTTGAGAATGAAAAAGAATAATAAAGGCCACGATGGGAATAGAGACCCCTTGATGTTTTCAAAAGAAAGGGCCAGAATGAGAAGACAGACCCCTTGAGAGACCCCAACTGGCCTACCTTCTTCCCCCGAATACTACTTACGGTCATTATAGCTGTATCTAGACTGAAAGATGCCTCAAATACAGCTACAATGACCGTACGTTGTATTCGGGGGAAGAAGGTAGCTCAGCTGGTACACCCACAAGCTGTTGCAAATAAAAGATAAGACTGTTGCAAATAAAAGATAAGAAGTTAAACCACCAGTACTTGGGCGACGCCTTACCGTTAACGCTACGAGAATTTCGCTACCGGCGGGCCGTCGATAAATCGTATCAACAGCCCGCGCCGCTTCAAAAAAGGTGCGGCCAGCGCGGCGCGCAGTGCCCAAGTACTGGTGGTTTAAGAACCCATGAGTTCTTCTTATCTTGGTGAGCAACATAATGACATAAAGTAATTCTGTAGGCCTTTTTTTTTTGCTTTCAATTAATGAATTCTGAAGGCCTATGCTCTGATTTATAAGGAAAAAAGAGGGAAGAAAAAAAAAAAAAAAAAAACGTTGAGAGTAAAGGAAAAGGGGTCAGAATGAGAAGAGAGACCCCTTTTTCCTGACTGAAGGGGTCAAATGAAATGCGAGAATCGTGGCTGAAATTCCGCTGAGCTTTAGAGATCCCTGGAGAGTGAAAACAAAGTCCAGATGGGTGAAGAAATGGCTGAAGAACTACCTTCTTCCCCCGGGTCCTTATAGCTGCATTTGGTGCAACTTCCGGTCTAGATACAGCGATAATGACCGGGCGTTCTATTGGGGTGAAGACGGTAGTGCACCATTCGATGGCACTCGTCTTGTATAAGCATGATGTAAGAATTGCTTCCAAAAGATACATCATCTCTTTTGGATTGTGAAACAATGTATCTTTTGCTCGTGGTTAGGACGTCGTTTCTTTTTTTTTTTTTTTTTTTTTTTTTAACACACGCACACACATGCCACGTCGTTTCACAATCCAAAAGAGATCATGATGTTTGACATCCAGCCATAGGCTGACACATCGCGCAGCATCACCAGATCACCATAGCCAGAATGTAACACAGACATATAGTGGGGAAGAGAGAAGTTGAGGAGAGAAGGAGAGAAGGGGGAAGGAGGAGGAGGAGAAGGAGGAGGAGGAGGAGGAGGAGAGAAGGAGAGAGAGAGATGATGAGAGATGAGACATGAGGAGAGAGCTAGTATAAGCACAATTCAGCAAACAAGCAACCACTGAGGAGCATGAGGGAGAGATGAACAGATCAATGGTCCACCATAAGAGGAGGTGTGCAAGAGGGGTGCGAATAGGTATGGACCGTATGGTATGGGGTGGCTGCTCTGGTGTGCTTCAGTGGGAAGAAATGATGCATCAGCATACCTTGTGCTGCCTGCATCTTCTGAGCACAAATGCCGCACTCGGGCTAGAACTGTTCCATGTTGATGAGCAGGAGGCTGTCCAACCACTCAACGATCTCACATCTTGGAAAGCACCCTGGCAACAATGCAGCTGCCAGGCCATGCCAGCCGTCTGAACAGCCATTCTCTTGCTCTCTCTCTCTCTCTCTCTCTCTCTCTCACACACACACACACACACACTCTTGCTCTCTCTCACTCACTCTCTCCCACTTTCTTCCCCTCCTCCCTCTCTCTCTCTCTCTCACACACACACACACACACACACACACACACTCTTGCTCTCTCTCACTCACCCTCTCCCACTTTCTTCCCCTCCTCTCTCTCTGTCTCTCTGTCTCTCTGTCTCTCTCTCTCTCACACACACACACACAC